CGAGACCAGAAGAACACTGCTACAAATTAGAATTCTCTAGGGAAGTTATAAATTTGTCCAAAATTCCCTGCTGAAATGGTCATCTAGATAATTATGCCCCAATAATTCAATCACTGTGGATACACTCATTTTGCTGACTGAACCCTTAGACCAGTGGTTCTTAAAGTGTGGTCCATGGACCAGCAGACACAGCACCTTGAAATATAAGAAGTGAAAATCCCCACCCAACTTCCAAGACATTCTGAGTCAGAGCAAAAATCCGTGTCTTGACAAACCCTCTGGGTGATCTGGTGCATGCTAAAGTTAGACCTGTTTACTCCAGATTCATAAGTTTTTAGTTTTAGGCATCCAAGAAAGAAGACTTGGCCCATTTTTCTCCTGTCCAGGTGTTTATGGACTTCTAGCCTCCAGATCTGTGAGAAAATACATCTGTTGCTGAAGCTCCCCGGTCTGTGGTGGTAATGTTACAGCAGCCCTAGCAAACAAATACCCTAGGTTCATGTGTTTTATAGGCAGCGTGTGGAAAACCACAGACTGTAATCGAGAGAAGATCAACATCTCCCTGTCTGAAGACTATTTTTAGGGGTTGATGACATTTATTTCCTGAAGCCAGACCTGGGCAGAGTGGGTTGTCCATTTCCAGGCCAGGTGGTATTACTGACACGGGAGGCGTCTGGAACATCAGAGAGCCTGTGGGAGGCAGGTGGGAGCCAGGGCACTCACAAAGCCACCGATTCAGAGAGGGGCCTCTGGAGGCTCACATTTAAAGGCCAGACCATGTGTAAGCTGCCTTACATGTGTCATTTCATTCAAAGCTAAGCCCTCTGCAGCTGCAAACTTGTGGTTCCCTTGGCAAGAGGCAAGTCTGTTCCGAGACATGACAAAGGGAATCTTGATCCAGCTGGAATTACTCTTAAGGTTTTGGATATACTGCAGTGCAGTTTATCTATCTTGTGTGTGCCATGCAAACCAATTCATTAACTTGTTCAACACTTTGAAGACCAGCTGTGTATCTGAGTTGACACTTAGAGGGACAAAGGGATGAAGCAGTCATGAGCCTTGTGCTCAAGTAGTTAATAATTTACTCAGAAATAAAATATAGCTAAGTAACATATTACAAGATTGAATGTGTAGACCAGAGCTACATTTACATTTGCATATATACTTACACATGTAAGTGTTCTTATTTCTGAATAGTTTAGATTGCCCCTATTATGTGGCGAGGCATTGTATAAGATACTTTACAAGTGGTATATCAAATCCATACTGTTGAAGAGGAGACCTCTCTCCCCACACTTCCACTCTGGGCCACCCCCTTCCAAGTTTATGTCCCCATGCCCTCCAGAAGGAAAGGAGTTATGGGTCTGATTATTCAGAACCCAGGACATGCATTGAGCCATTTTGCCCACGGGCAGGGTCCCTCTGCCTTGAAGATCAGCTTTATGACGGAACCACCTGTCTTTTTCCTATACATGGGGTCAGGGGCTTCCTAGGGGCTGCTCACCCAGGTCTGGCCTCTGTCCCATCTTCCTTATTCTTGTTCCTGCGAGGGGAGGCAAGAAGAAGCCCAAAGAAGGGCTGGCATCTTCATTCTTCTGGGGAAGAAACAGGCAATCTTCTGTGGCTTGCCAGCCTAGCCAACATCTTCCAACTCAGCCTTTGCCAGACTCTGTCTTGGTTGGTTACCACAATTAATAAAGTGTTCCTGGGGTGCCTGGGTGGCTCAGGTGGTTGAGCTTCCAACTCTTGATCTCAGCTCAGGTCTTGATCTCAGGGTCACAAGTTCGAGCCCCACATTGGGCTCCACACTGGGTGTGGGGCCTACTTAAAAAAAAGTACAGATAAAGTGTTCCTGATTCCCACTTGGCTGCTATCAGGCTTTCACGGAGGGCCCTAGTCAGGAGTCCTGAAGGGAAAGAGATGAGTCCTGAGATATGGCTATTCCTAGCCCAAGGAAACTCAAGGTTAATCACTTACACTTCATAGAGATAACATCAGAGAATGTTACCTCTTTTAAACTCCTGAAGAGTTTCTCCACAGTGAGTGGTGGAGCCAGGATTCGAACTAGCTACTGTCTGACTTTAAACCATAGCTCTTGCCACCACTCACACTGCCAAGAATGAGAATCAAAGAACACACTAGGGAAGCTCCAGGGTGGTAGGGGGAACACATTCCTTCTGGCAAACTCTTCATGGAAAGGAAACATTTGAACTTGGGAGAACTGGGAGCACTTGGACATGAAGGGGTGGGAGCATGGCTTTCCAGGAGGAAAGAAGAGCAGGTATTCGGGAACTGGCTGTTAGGCCAGGGAGAACACAAGGCAAACTGTCCCTGCTAGCAATTCCCAGCATGAGCAGGAGGTGGAATGCCCCTATAAAATATCCCCCAGCCGGGTCATTGTCCAGTCATGCACATTTGGAAGTGACCTTCTGCCATTCCAGGCTGCCAGAATCTGCCTGTGTCTACCACCGAAGCTCAGCTCATTCTGTTTCCCTCTGAGGACTCTGGCCTGTGATGGGCCATGTTCGTGCCCGCTCTGAGCCCTGGGCCGGAGCAGTTGCCCTTGCCTGCCTCCTCCTTCCCTGAGGTGTTTGGACCTGGCGCTGGCTAGTGTGGTGTGAAGAACCCAGGCTTTAGGGGTATGCGGCCAACTTTGTGTTCCAGCTCTGTGGCCTTGGGCAGGCGACCTAAACTGCCCTATCAGTCCCTGTTTCTTCTTCTGTAACACGGAGATAGCAGCACCTACCTCATGGAGTTGCTGTGAGGCTTTACAAAAATAATGTGTGCTAGTATAATAGATGCTTAGTGAACAGGGGCTCGTGTTGGTATTTCCATCCCTTAGGGTCAGAATTACCTCCAACTCTTTCATGAATCTCTCCTTGAGACCTAATTTCAAAACTCTTCCTTACCTCCTTCATTTCTTTACCTCTTACCACCCTTCATGGAAGCCCTCTTGGTTAATTATATCTCTCCATTATTCTGCCTTACACTGAATGCCCCCAGACTGCTATTGTATATGCTTTTTGTCTATCTTTTTTTTTTTTTTAAAGATTTTATTTATTTATTCATGAGAGAGACAGAGAGAGAGAGGCAGAGGGAGAAGCAGGCTCCCAAGGAACAGGAAGCCCGATGCGGGACTCGATCCCAGGACCCTGAGATCATGACCTGAGCCGAAGGCAGACGCTTAACCATCTGAGCCACCCAGGCGCCCGCTTTTTGTCTATCTTGAGACTGCCACTAGAATGTAGCTACCTGGGGGCAAGAAATTTTGTACATTTGATTCACACTGAATCCCCAACTCCTAGGTCTTTGCCTGGGCACAGTAGGAACTGAGTAAATATTTATTGAATGAATGAATGAATCCTCTGATCTCCCTCTCACCTTCCTGAATCATTCTTTTTCTGTTTCCATCTTCTCCAATCTAGCCTTGTGCCTCCCCTTCCTGAGGACACAGGACACAGAACAGTGTGACTGTGAAATAGCACAGTTACGTTCAGTAACTCTGTATATAAGGAAACGGGTCATCACATAATCCATAACCAGGTGGAAAATTTTTCTCTCTCTAGTGCTTGAAAAAAAAGAAAGTCACCTGTTCTTATTCTAGATTGTATAGGTATACATTTGGCCTTGCAGACAACCCTATCTCTGTGGGCTATTTGTAAAGCACTTCGAGACTTTAGGGAGTGGATTACCTACAGAACATACTGTGGCCGCCAGTTTGTGCAGTTTGTTCTGCTATAGCCTGCAGGACGGAGAACCTCCTGGTTACAGGAACATGGACCCCAAAGCAGCATGCGCTGCAGTGCCTGTGTATATTCTCCCCTCTGCCATAGCTCATTGTTTCCTAAGAGTCTGTGATTCTAAAACGCTCCTCAGTAGCTTCCGATGATTGTCCTGGCTGAGCTCTCCCTTCCCAGAATGGGATGGGAGGATGTGTCATTATACATGGCACGGGCAGTGCCCTTTCCCACCCATTACTTCAGAGCCTGGGTCAGTACTGATCTCTCAGTGTGTTAGGAATGGTCCTGTTCTAGGGCCTTGCCAAACAACACAGCCACATACCCTTGACCTCTCCCTCTGGCTGTACAGAGACCAAGTCATTTGAAAATGCTGCTTTGTCCAGGCACCTGGGTGGCTCAGTCTGTTAAGCATCTGACTCTTGGTTTTGGCTCAGGTCATGATCTCAGGATTGTGAGATCGAGCACCATGTCAGGCTCCATGCTAAGATTCTCTCTCTCTCCCTCTCCCTCTGCCCCTCCCCCCACCCCAGCTTGGCACAAGTGTGCGCACACTCTCTCAAAAAAGAAAAGGAAATGATGCTTTGTCTTTATCGTGGACCAAATAAAATTGTGAGGTGGCCCTTCCTCTGTACTCCAGCCAATCTCTTGGAATACAAGAGGAACTATTGTCTCTAGGTGGGATTGTGGTAGAGGTGATGTGTTGGGGCAGTGGAGTTGAGTTAAGGGGGAGGCAGTGTGGTTGGGGTGGTAATATTCTTCCAATAAATATATAAAAATACAAATAGCAATCAACTAGGAACATGCATTTGGACTGGCCAGAAGAGAATGAAGTGAATGTCAACTAAGTTTTCTGGGATTCACCCTAGTTGAAATTTGGGGCAAACTCACCAACCCACCTTCAAGAGTGGGGCTAAGATTCGTTATGCCCTTTGGTAGCTTAACAATTATTTTGAGGGGGCGCCTGGGTGGCTCAGTCACCAGTTAAGCGTCTGCCTTAGGCTCAGGTCATGGTCCCGGGGTCCTGGGATCAAGCCCCGCATCAGGCTCCCTGCTCAGTGAGGAGCCTGCTTCTCCTTCTCCCTCTGCAGCTCTCTCTGCGGCTCCCCCTGCCAGTGCTCTCTCACTCTCGCTCTTTCTCATATAAATGAATAAAATCTTAAAAAAAATTATTTTGAGTTCATATATTTCTATGATTCTTGAAATAAGCAACATTAGGAAACTGGCTTTGCTTGGGAATCAGGATGTTTTCCCTTCTTACAGGCTTCAGTTCAAGAACCATTGCTCCTCGGTTGTCATAAACCATTTGGGGATCTCCTCTGAAGTCTCTAGCCCTCTCTCACTTCCTGCCATAAAAGCTTTTCTGTCTCCCTACCAAGAGTGTGGGTTTTGCATCTTCAGAGCTGAATGATTCTTAGACTCCCAGCACTCCTAGGTCCAGTTTCAGGTAAAGGTAAGGTTGACTGACATTCCCTTGGAGAACAAGTTCAGGCCTGGGAGCACTGATGGCATCTGGCTATGTGTACCAGCATGAGGGCTCAGGTCCAGGCTTGCCAGTCATCACTCCCCCTGCCAGTGACCTGATGTCTGCTGCTCTCCCCTTATGAGCCTCACATAAGCCTGTTTGCTTATCTGTAAAATGGGAATTATAAATCTAGTCCCACTGCTTCCCTCATGAACAACCAAGGGGGAAAATGATAAAAAGGATTTTATAAAAAATAAAGCCCAGTATAGTAATTATTTGTCTAGCATGTCAGTAATGTGTTTATTGTATAAAACATAGATAAGAAAAAGGGGGTATCAAATAATAGCAATTAAATAAAACTGGGTTTGAGAGTCAAATACTTTTTGAGGCAAAGCAAAGTAAATAGGTTTCTTTACTGCAGGACTTCCAAGTGGTTTTAGTATACAAATATATTATAAATTTCCAAGAGGGACATAAAATAATGTTTTTAAATTTATGTGAACTCCTCTGCTTTTTAAAAAATTGAGTATCTCTTACAATGTGTGTATCTCAAGCACAGTTTGGGAAACACTGAATTGGGTAAGATTATTGTTGCTATTGTGATTGCGTCCAGGTGGTTCAAGGCCAACTCAGTGCAAATCTCTTCCCTGAAAGTGAGGCTGATCGAGTTCCCTGTCCTGGAGATGGAAATGCAGGCTCAATGCCTGGGTGAGTCTAATTTGTCTCATTAGACTTCCTACTAGTTCTTTTGGTTCTCTGGTGGGTCTTTCCGTTGCATCCTGAGGTTCCATGGGTTCTGGCTCTGATTTCAGCTTGAGTTGCCATGAGCCAGGGAGCTTGTGAGGAGGGACTTTCCTTGGGCTTCTTAGTTTCCCAGTCTTACCTCTCTCCTGCTGATGCAGCTGCCAATGGGAGGTGGCCAGGGCCTAAGCATAACTGAATCATCCTTAATTCCAGGCCAGAACACGCTCAGAGCTCTGTTCTCTGGCAGGACCAATCAAAAATGGTCTGTCTGTACCTCTCAGCACATTGGCAGAGACTTGTTGGACCCCATACATGCAGAAAAGACACCTTTTTTCCCCTTTCTTTACTCCAAGAATTTGATTTTGTTAAGAAAATAATTTTTTAAATGACAAATTAAGTTATGCCCATTGTAAAAATTTCCAATAAGACAAGTATGTGTGAGATTGAAAAGGGAATTTCCCTCCTTCTTATCTCACATTCTTCCATCCCCAAGTGTGCAGTGTATACTATTCTAGATCTTTCTCTCTGCACATATAAATTGATAAATAGATTTGCTTGTTTGGTCAGATGCACTGCATCTTTCTAATTTTACTCAGCAATATTCTGTGGACAGCCTTCCGTGTCCAGGCATAGATGTGAACCACCTTTGCCTTATGTTTTTAAAGTCAAGTTTATTGAGAGGAAAATTCACATAAAACTCACCGCTATTAAGAGCACAGTCTGATGAGTTTTGACAAAATAGACAAACAACAACCACTCAATCAAGATAAAGAACAGTTCCATCACCACCAAAGTTCCCCTTGTAGCTGGCTCTCATGACCATAACTGCCGGTCACCACTGAGCTGTTCTCCATCCCAGTAAGTTTTGCCTTTTCCAGAATGCCTTATACATGAAGTTGTGTGGTATGTAACCTTTGTGTTGACTTTAGCAGAATGCATTTGAGATTCATCCATGATACTTGTTTCAGTAGTTCATTACATCTTACTGCCATGTAGTATTGCATTGTACACAATTGGTTACACCACTTGATGGCCATTTGGGTTGTTTCTAGTTTCTTGTCATGACAAACAAAATAGGAACATTCCCGTACAAGTCTCTTTTGGTGGATATAGGTTTCATTTCTCTTGTATAAATACCAAAGAGCAGTATTGTTGTGTGGTGTGGTAAGTGTATATTTAACTTTTTTTTTTTTAAAGATTTTATTTATTCATTTGAGAGAGAATGAGATAGAGAGAGCATGAGAGGGGGAGGGTCCGAGGGAGAAGCAGACTCCCTGCCGAGCAGGGAGCCCGATGCAGGACTCGATCCCGGGACTCCAGGAGCATGACCTGAGCCGAAGGCAGTCGCTTAACCAACTGAGCCACCCAGGCGCCCAAGTGTATATTTAACTTTAAAAGAAACTGCCAAACTGTTTTCCAAAGTGGTTTGCCATTCTGCATATTCCCACTAGCAGTGTGTGAGGGCTCCAGTAACTCTCACCAACACTTGGGATTGTCAGTCTTTTTAAACTTAGCCATTCTAGTAGTACGTAGCGATGTTTCATTAAGGTTTTAATCTAGATTTCCCTAATGACTAATGATGTTGAGTATCTTTTCCTGTGCTCATTTGCCATTCACATACCTCCTTTGGCAAAGTATCCGCGTTTTGCCCTTTTCTTTTAGTTGGGTTGTTTGTTTCATTATTATTGAGTTGTAAAAGTTATTTATAAATTCTGATTACACATCCTTTATCATATACATGTTTTGCAAATATTTTCTCCTAGTCTTTGGCTTGTTTTTTCAACTTAACATTGTTTTTCAAAGAGCAGAAGTTTAAAAATTTTGATGAAGTCCAATGTAATGCTTTTCTAAAATGATTGGTGCTTTTTGTGTCCTATTTAAAAAACTTTTTTCACAGAAGCAGAGAGTCAAATGCTGATTACCAGGGGTTAGGGAAGATGGGGAAAGTGGAGAGATATTGGCCAAAGGGTATGAAGTTTCAGTTATATAGGATGAATAATAATGTACACCATGGTGGTTATAGCTAATAATACTGTTTTGTACAGTTGAAATTTTCCAAGAGAGTAGTTTTCAAGCATTTTCACTAGAAAAAAGGTAACCATATAAGTTGACAGATATGTTGATTAGCTTGACTGTAGTAATCATTTCACAAAATATATGTGTATCAAAACATCATGTTATATACCTTAAATATATACCATTTTTATTTAAGAAAAAAATTTTAATTTAAAAGGCAAAATCCAAGGTCACTAGGGTTTTCTTGTGTTTTCTTTTAGAAGGTTAATAGGTTTCGCTCTTACATTTAGGTCTGTGATCTATTTTGAGCTAATTTTTATGTATGGGGCAAAGTAAGAGTTAAGATTAATTTTTGTTTTGCATACGGAAGACTCATTTTTCCAGCATCGTTTGTTGCAAAGACTACTTTATTCTTTGTAATGACTGTATAATGTTTCACTGAAGAGAGGTCCCATGATTTATTCAACAATCTTATATTCACGGAGAGTCAGGTTTTTTTAAATCTGAAGCTATAATGAACATCCTCGTACCTCAACTACTGGGCAGTTGAACAAGTATTTCTGTGGACTTTCTGGGTCAAACGACATGTGAATGTTATGCGTTGATGGGTACCATCAGATTGTGCATCAGTATACGTACGCTCCCACCTCCATGACCTGTGAGAGAAAGCTCAGGTTTTGATAAGCCTTTTACAAATCTCAAAAAATTTCCTTCTGGATAATCTAATAGCCTGTGTTATTAGATTCTGAAAGATTGAGAGTCCTTCCAGGAGAGTTTGAAGAAAGATGATAACTTCTCAGTTAGGGTAACCCTGTAAGAAATAGGCTCATAAAATACACAGTCCATGGGAAATGGAAATTTACAGAGCTGTTTTCATAAGTATTGGGGCTTATTAATACCTCTATGCTGGGCCTCCCCAAAGGGCAAAGGTGACTCACATCCCAGTGGTCTGAATGTGTACATGCAGCCTCTCCTAGGCAGGCCCTAACTCTTTGTGGCTGGCTGTCCACATTCCCTCTCACTTTCTCCCCATCCTTGCCAGAACCCTCTCTTGTACCAGACCCGGGCCAGCCAGCTGTATGTGCATAGGCACAAAGAGGGGGCTGGGAAATGCAACTGACTCAGTGTGCCTGGAGCATAAGATTATGCCAGTTTTCCTACTTTTCTTTTCATCCTATGGTGCTGTGATTTGATCAAATTAACTGACATTGTTGAGGATTAGGTGACAAGGATTGTCCTGGGGTACACAGAGCTATGGGACAGTGTTCTATCTTCAGGGACATTAACACAAGTTAAATAGAAAAGCAAAGTGATTTAGAAGCAGCTCAAAAACTGTAGCAGCAGGGTGCCTGGGTGGCTCAGTTGGTTAAGCGACTGCCTTCGGCTCAGGTCATGATCCCGGGGTCCTGGGATCGAGTCCCACATTGGGCTCCTGGCTCAGCGGGGAGCCTGCTTCTCCCTCTGACCCTCTCCTCTCTCATGCTGTTTCTCTCTCTCTCGCTCGCTCTCAAATAAATAAATAAATAAATAAATAAATAAAATCTTTTAAAAAAATAAATTAATTAAAAAAAAAACTGTAGCAGCAGGTGTCACAGGCAGGACATATTGATCCACCTTGTGCCAACTGCACAGTCAATGGTGAGATCTAGGTGTTGAGAGAAGGAAGAAGAAATAAATTTGGTTTCACAGGAGGAATCTGAGCTGATGGTGAAAGTTCAGATTCTTGGCACCAGGTCACTCAAGAGTTACCTTCCTCCAAGGTAGACCGCGCTTTCTCCAAGCCACCAAAAGCCCAAAAGCCTACTGCTGAGACTGTAGGTTTTAGGAGTTAAGGAGAACAAGCCTGAGAATTTCCTGGTGGGTTTAGCCAACAATCACAGAGCCTTCCGTCAGATAGTTTGGGAAGAGCTAAAGCTGTCCTGTTAATTTTGAATGTAGCCCAAGTTTATTTTTCATGCTTTCAAAAGATTTTCTTATAAACCCTTTGTCAGCTAGCTATTGCTGCATAACAAATCATCCTAAAACCGAAGGGTTTAAAACAGCTATTTTATATGCTCATGAATCTGTAATCTGGGGTGAGGTCACCTAGGCAGTTCTTTTTTTTTTTTTTTTAAGATTTTATTTATTTATTTGAAAGAGAGAGATACAGCGAGAGAGGGAACACAAGCAGGGGGAGTGGGTAAGGGAGAAGCAGGCCTCCCGCCGAGCAGGGAGCCCAATGTGGGGCTCGATCCCAGGACCCTGGGATCATGACCTGAGCTGAAGGCAGACGCTTAACGACTGAGCCACCCAGGCACCCCCACCCAGGCAGTTCTTCAGCTGGTCTCACCAGGGGTGACTCCTGGGACTGCCATCACCGATTGGAGACCTGCACGGGACTAGCTGATTCAAGCTATCCTCACTTGTGTGGTCAGTGCCTCATCTGAGGTGGCCAAGCACCAGGGGCTGGATGCTTCCCTGTCCCTGTTGCCCATCTGGTAGTTCCAACTTCTTGTGTGGCAGTTTCTAAGAAAAGACAAGGGCAGAAGCTGCCAGGCCTGTTAAGGCCTTAGCCTGAAAATGGCACATTGTGACTTCTGCCACACTGTACGGGTCAAAGCCAGTCCCGAGGCCAGCCCGATTCAGTGGAAGGGGGAGTGGACACCACCTCTTGCTGGGGAGAATGGCACACACATACAGGATGGGAGAGATTTTCAGTGGCCATCCCTGCGCCCGATCCACAGCTCCCTGGGCTTCATTTTCGCTGTCTCTCTACACAGATTTTAACTCATGTATGATTCATCCCATGTTACCTCATTTAACCTTTCCAACATACCCTTAAAGGGAACATGGCCTCCATTTTATGATAAGAAAACTGAGGCTCAGAGATGTCAAACGGTTTGTCTGCTGTCTCGGCAGAGCCGGGAGTCAGATGGGACTGCTGCAAGAGCTGGGGAGTGTTGCCTTAC